ATTATTATAATTAAAAGATAAATATATAAATTTTAACTAAAAAATTATAAAAAATTAATTTAAAAATAAATTAATTTAAATATTTGCTTTAATATTCAAATACGTCTATGTGATGTAATACGTTATTTTTAATATTCAAATACGTCTATGTGATGTAATACTTTAGTTTGGCACTGAATTACCTTAAAGTACGGATAAAACCGATTATTGTTTAAGATATAAGGATGAACATTGCTGTCTGATGGCTGAACTAACATTTCTCCCTCCAACATAATGACCGCATTCAACACATTATGAAAGTGTCGACTAACGGTTTCCCCAGATCGATGGAAAAAAAATGAAACACTTCGATACGCCAACTTTCCTCGCCTTTCGTTGCTTGTAAACAGTACATCACCCGAAACAAACACTACCTTAAATTTTCCTTCTATTTGAAAAACAGTGAAAGCATTGAGATGATAATACTATACTAAATCACATTCATTTTTATAGATGCAGTGCCCTATAATAAATGACATTCATTTTTATGATAATTTGTTGTAAGCATACTAATAAAAAAATTTACAACATATTTTATTCTATTAAATATTTTTATACATTTATTTCATTTCAATTTATTTATAAGTGGCCTTTAGCAAAACAAATGTTTTTATCAATTTCACACAAGTGATATAAATAAAACTATTATGTTTAACTAATAAAGTCGAGACAGTTTATATTTTTATATTTTAAATATATTTAAAAATTATTAGTATTTGTTGAATTGATTAGTGTTGTACGTAATTCTTAAACTTTAAAGTCTTAAATTTGAGTGTTAAATTTATAAGAATAATTAATTTTTAATATTATTTTTTGTTATTTAAAAAATTGAAAGATAAAATAATTTAAAAATTATGTATATGAAAATAGGAAATTATTTTTATATATAAATATAAATATAAGAGAATATAAATAAGATAAAAGTGAGTTTGAAAAGGGTTTGAACTAGTCGTGATTTAAAACGACTATAAATTTAAACTTTTTAACTATATTATTAGTATAAGACATTTATTAATAATTAATGATTAATCTCTATTAGAAAATTTAGTTGATCATCTTTAGTGAAGTGTTTTCTGTCAATTACATTTTTTTTCATTTATAAAATTTAAAATTGACATTTTATTTAAGAGGATCAATTCTAGTACTAATAGATCAACTAATTGTTGGTGTGTTATAAAAACAATTTAAAAATGGTTTTGAAAACCAGTTTTTTTAAGTATAAACAATCCTTTTAGGTTTAAAATGATGTTTGGCTTAAAATTGGTTTCAAACCAAAAAACGGTTTTAAAATTTCAAATTGGTTAAAAAATATTCAAATGGTGTTCTTATTAAAATATGGATATGCTTCGTGATTAGCTTTTTGTTGGGAGCTGCGTTTCCATCTTAGATGAAGTGACATTCAGTTGACCTCTTGTGCATGCTATTGCCTTAGAAAGTAAATGGTTTTGCTAATATATAAGAAAAATTTTAAAAAAATCACTCATTTAATTTAATTTGATTAATTTGTACAAAAGATATTATAGTAATTTAATTTAATGTTAAATGAAAATAAAATATTTTCTCTCTCTTATTAATATTATTCTCTAAGTCGTTTATATTTTTTTATTTGTTCAAAGAGGGGAGACATTATAAGAGATGAGAGAAAAATGAGTTAAAGAAAGAATTTAATAGGTGAAAGATAAATAAGTTAGAAAAAAAATTTAATAAAAAAGAGAAGTGGGTTGGAGAAGGAATTTAATAAAAAATAAAAACAACTTAGAGAATGAAGTTAATAAAAGAGAAAAAATATTTTATGCGTTTGAACTAGTCGTGATTTAAAACGACTATAAATTTAAACTTTTTAACTATATTATTAGTATAAGACATTTATTAATAATTAATGATTAATCTCTATTAGAAAATTTAGTTGATCATCTTTAGTGAAGTGTTTTCTGTCAATTACATTTTTTTTCATTTATAAAATTTAAAATTGACATTTTATTTAAGAGGATCAATTCTAGTACTAATAGATCAACTAATTGTTGGTGTGTTATAAAAACAATTTAAAAATGGTTTTGAAAACCAGTTTTTTTAAGTATAAACAATCCTTTTAGGTTTAAAATGATGTTTGGCTTAAAATTGGTTTCAAACCAAAAAACGGTTTTAAAATTTCAAATTGGTTAAAAAATATTCAAATGGTGTTCTTATTAAAATATGGATATGCTTCGTGATTAGCTTTTTGTTGGGAGCTGCGTTTCCATCTTAGATGAAGTGACATTCAGTTGACCTCTTGTGCATGCTATTGCCTTAGAAAGTAAATGGTTTTGCTAATATATAAGAAAAATTTTAAAAAAATCACTCATTTAATTTAATTTGATTAATTTGTACAAAAGATATTATAGTAATTTAATTTAATGTTAAATGAAAATAAAATATTTTCTCTCTCTTATTAATATTATTCTCTAAGTCGTTTATATTTTTTTATTTGTTCAAAGAGGGGAGACATTATAAGAGATGAGAGAAAAATGAGTTAAAGAAAGAATTTAATAGGTGAAAGATAAATAAGTTAGAAAAAAAATTTAATAAAAAAGAGAAGTGGGTTGGAGAAGGAATTTAATAAAAAATAAAAACAACTTAGAGAATGAAGTTAATAAAAGAGAAAAAATATTTTATTTTCATTTAAAATTAAATTAAATTACTATAATATCCTTTATATAAATTAACCAAATCAAAATAAATAAGTGATTTTTTTGTCCTAAAATTTTGGTGTAAGTTGCTAAGATACTCTAACTAAAAAATAAGTGAAAGTATATTAGTATTCCTCATATATATATATATATATATTAATATTATATTTATATATTGTTATATTATTAATTATAATAAAATTAAAAAAACTATTTGAAAAACAGTGAAAGCATTGAGATGATAATACTATACTAAATCACATTCATTTTTATAGATGCAGTGCCCTATAATAAATGACATTCATTTTTATGATAATTTGTTGTAAGCATACTAATAAAAAAATTTACAACATATTTTATTCTATTAAATATTTTTATACATTTATTTCATTTCAATTTATTTATAAGTGGCCTTTAGCAAAACAAATGTTTTTATCAATTTCACACAAGTGATATAAATAAAACTATTATGTTTAACTAATAAAGTCGAGACAGTTTATATTTTTATATTTTAAATATATTTAAAAATTATTAGTATTTGTTGAATTGATTAGTGTTGTACGTAATTCTTAAACTTTAAAGTCTTAAATTTGAGTGTTAAATTTATAAGAATAATTAATTTTTAATATTATTTTTTGTTATTTAAAAAATTGAAAGATAAAATAATTTAAAAATTATGTATATGAAAATAGGAAATTATTTTTATATATAAATATAAATATAAGAGAATATAAATAAGATAAAAGTGAGTTTGAAAAGGGTTTGAACTAGTCGTGATTTAAAACGACTATAAATTTAAACTTTTTAACTATATTATTAGTATAAGACATTTATTAATAATTAATGATTAATCTCTATTAGAAAATTTAGTTGATCATCTTTAGTGAAGTGTTTTCTGTCAATTACATTTTTTTTCATTTATAAAATTTAAAATTGACATTTTATTTAAGAGGATCAATTCTAGTACTAATAGATCAACTAATTGTTGGTGTGTTATAAAAACAATTTAAAAATGGTTTTGAAAACCAGTTTTTTTAAGTATAAACAATCCTTTTAGGTTTAAAATGATGTTTGGCTTAAAATTGGTTTCAAACCAAAAAACGGTTTTAAAATTTCAAATTGGTTAAAAAATATTCAAATGGTGTTCTTATTAAAATATGGATATGCTTCGTGATTAGCTTTTTGTTGGGAGCTGCGTTTCCATCTTAGATGAAGTGACATTCAGTTGACCTCTTGTGCATGCTATTGCCTTAGAAAGTAAATGGTTTTGCTAATATATAAGAAAAATTTTAAAAAAATCACTCATTTAATTTAATTTGATTAATTTGTACAAAGGATATTATAGTAATTTAATTTAATGTTAAATGAAAATAAAATATTTTCTCTCTCTTATTAATATTATTCTCTAAGTCGTTTATATTTTTTTATTTGTTCAAAGAGGGGAGACATTATAAGAGATGAGAGAAAAATGAGTTAAAGAAAGAATTTAATAGGTGAAAGATAAATATAAAAATAATAATTTGTCACCTCCAAACTTTAATGCAAGTTCTGCCACTGACTGGCAACACATAATTTTAGAAGTGGCCGAACATCAATGCTTTGTATGGGTGGCATGCCATCTCAACATTTTTATTTCTCACAGCTCTTACATATCCATTATTGGACATAAATACCTTCGCATCAGCAACCTTTGTTATATATTTACATGGAAGATTATGAGAAATCTCAAAAAGACCCAAGAACTATAATTCAAGTTCTAAGATGTCAATGTCAAAGGAGAGGAATTGCAGATCACTGTCAAGTTATAAATTTATTATAAAATAAATAATTTTTCCGGTTAAAAGTTAAAACTGACTATAGCAGGTAAATTTAGTGCCTCATGCATGTAACATCAACTTAGGTACATGTTTTATAATTGTGTATCACGTTGAAATATCAATTAACCTAATTTTAGGTACATATATATGTATATATATACATCATCGTAAAGCTTAACGTTAATCAGGATAACCTCAGAACCCTGATTGCGCGAGTTGCAGGTTGCACGTGAAACTGTCTTGAATCGTAAATGCTTCTTCCCACTGGCACCCACCATTCATTCACTAAACACAAAGTGACAAAAAACTGTGTCTCATCTCAGATAAATTGCATGCATTCTGCTCAGTGCTCACTGAATATCTCACGTGACACTCAGTGAGCTAGTGGTTTCAATCTTTACCCCGTCACGGACCACTCAGACACGTTATGCACGCGCTTCCATTAAGCCCCTCAGTTCATTCACTATATATATAACAACATCACCTGCACTTTCTCCATTGCACACACTTACATTAATAGAGAGAAGCTTTTATATATGGTCGTCAACATGTTCAGGAAATCACTAGGCTTCTTCTTCTTGCTCCTTCTCCTTGTCTTTGCCTCTCGTAAGATTTCATCCCTTGCCATCTTATGTATAACAAAGTAAATAAAATTATAGAATTCGCCTAATAACGATTGATAATATATATGATCATATGCATACAAGATAAATTTGGTGAAATTGCATGCAACTTTTATGCATTTTAATATTTATAGCAACTTTTCTCACAAGAGACACAGTTTCATTTTTCCAAATAATTAAGAGGTTAATATTATATAATAGTAAAAATAGCAGGAAATTTTGGACAAATTTAACAATGACATCAAAAGGTGTAGTATAATTTGGAGTATGTTTAAGTGCTTTTAAAAGTTTATCGGGTATTTCTTTTAAAAGCGCTTCTAATTCAAACAATATGTTGTTAATTTATATAATATCAGTTGTTTTTATTGCGTGTTTGATGAATATTATGCAGAGGTGGTGGTGCAGACTGAGGGAAGATTGTGTGAGTCACAGAGCCACGGGTTCAAAGGTGCATGCACAAGTGACCACAACTGTGCTCTGGTTTGCAGGAACGAAGGTTTCTCCGGCGGCAACTGCAAAGGGTTCCGCCGCCGCTGCTTTTGCACCAAGATTTGTTGAGATATGATCAAACCACCGCTGCATGCATGTTGCCGTGGAAATAACAATAAATCACATGTCAAGTAAATTGTACTCTTTATCCATTTGGAAGCTACCACAACCAACTCATGTAGCTTATGCATTTGCTTACGTGTCAACTGTTCGGGTTAAATTATATTTATAATTAATGCATGCACTTTAATTAAGTACCCATGTTTGGTCAAATATTTGAGTATTGAGACGGAAAAATTATACCTCCTTCCATTTTTTTTAAATTTTTTATTTATAATAAAAAACTACTAAATCGATCCTAAATTCCTAATTTCTAATCCGTATACAATCTGATGAGCCAAAAAAGAAAAAAAAAAACGTTAACGATATTGATTAATATAGGCATTACAAGAATATGATATCATATCGACAAACATCCTATAATAATATTAATACGTATTATTAAAAATTATTTTAATTTATATAATAAATATAATATATATATATATATATATATATTATACTTATAATGATAAAAAAAAATTATGTCACCTTATAACATAAGGAGGTTCACAAGATTCAAACATCAATGAAAAGAAAATATACACATTTCTCAAAATGGCATAAAAAGACCAAGCAAGATAGTATCTTGATAATGAATGCACTATTCAGGCCTAAATGAAAAGGAACAACCTATCTATCATTCTTACAAGATTGTCATTAGGAAAATTGACAACTATCGAGCACTTCTATGACATCCATACTCATCTTCTCTATTTATAGTTGCACTTAAAATACGTAAAGGGAAAGTGTAACCTACCACAATTATAACAATTAACTAGAGTTCAGATATTGAACCAACAAAACTAAAATACAAGGTGAATCTCCTTAACTTAGAAATAATTGAAGTGAAATGTACTTGAGAGTTAAATTTTACTAGAGAATCTTTTATTCCATTCTACCTTATCTAGTGATATAAAGAGGAGTATGGCGAGAAATATACCGATCATAATTTTCTTAGTTATTATAATCATATATTTTTGTAAATTAAATGATAAAAAAATATTGACGATAATTTAAAGAAAACAATCAATATTGTGTTATTTCGTGACATCTATCCACATGAGAAAAACTTATTTTATAATACATACTATAATATTATAAAATCGATTTAATTATCATATATTATCAATATAAAAAAAAATTATATTATTAAATAATCAAAAGTTACCGCTGATATAATTTTAAAAACAATTATTATAAAAGTTAATAAATTTATCATATACAATAATTTGTGATTGAATTATCTACGGTACATAAAAATTTTCTCTAATAATATAATATAGATTGGATCCACAGCGCTTCACAATCAATTAATTTAATAATTTTTCCTAAAAAAATATATCATATTCACAAAAGTAGGAATAGAAATGAGACAAGGTAGATAGTAGACCCCATCATCTATTCCATTATTGTGATTGCATATATCCATTATTTTTATATATTTGCAAGTATACAACGATATTTGTAAATATTTATTAAAATATAAATTTTTAAAATGAGAAATAAAATAAAATTAAAAACAACTAATTATTTATATTAAAAAATAATTTTGTAAGATATATTTATACTAAAATAAATAATTATGACATACATATTTATAATAAGAGAGCAAATTATTTATCTATAGTTAAAATATTTAATTATATTTTTAATCCTCCAAAATTAAGTATATATTTTTTGTTGAAATTTAAAACTTGTATTTAATCCTGAAAATATATAAAAAGAAATTATTATTTTAATTCATCAAATTTAAAAAAAATTTATTTTGAAAAAATATTTTTATACTAAAAGTGATAAATTAAATTATATAAATACTTCCTAAACCCAAAAATATTTTTTTTTTTTGAAATTTTGAGAGATTAGATTATATAAATACACTCTAGACGCTAAATCTTACAGCAATATTTTTTGTAATTATAAGGATTAAAAAGATAAGTTTTAAATTTGAGTGACTAAAATAATAATTTTTTTTATATTTTATTAATTAAAATACAAATTTTAAATTTAGATAAATAAAAAATATATATACTTCGAATTTAGAAGATTAAAAATACTTTTAATAGTTTGAAAGTAGAAACATTCACAAATACAATTATTTTACTATATATCCTATTATTCATTTACAGTCTACTAATAACCGGTCTTACTCGTGAGTATTGCAGGTAGAATTTTTATGTTTTTTCATCCCTAACTTGAGCATGGTGCTTGCAATTAGCTCCTAAACTCAGAAACACATTTTGAGACAAATTATAAACTTAATTCTGATCTTCATCACCGTCACAAGCACTCTTTTCCAGCTTTGCTATTCTTGTGTTCTGAATCTTTTTGTCGATAACAACACTCTATTAGCGGTTACCTCAATACGTGCCCCTTTTGATCATCCCACGTCCTTCCCTAAGTATTCAAATCACCGACCATTTTCTGCCACACATATGGACACTCAGGTCGGTCTCTCCTTTCACGTGAACAGATTCCTTAACCAAGATTTGGCTCCTGTCACTACAAAATACAATACATCACAATTCTAAATTAATTAAAGAGGAATGTTTTTATATTTTAATAACTAATTTATTATACATTTTTTAAATTATTAAGGAAACACTCATATTTTATTTTAACTTTAATTCTTATTTTAAATTAATAACTTTAGTTTCACTTTTTAAAAGTAAAATCTCACTTTTAGGTAGAATAATTTATAACGTGTGTGAATAAGATTTCAAAGCAAAAATCACCTCAAAGATACAAGCCATTTCTATTCAAAGAACAATGCTAATAAATTTATAAACTTTTTAAAATTAATTAATCGTGTTATAAAAATATAGTTATATAAAAAAAGAGTTAATCACCTATACATTATTAATGTAAAGTTTTTTTATACTGACAATTAATTATATCTTTTAGTTGTGTCATATCATTATAAACACATTTATTTTTATTAGTGACATGACATAATTAAAAAATATAATTAGTTAATAGTATAAAAAAAAATTTACACTAAAAGTGTATAGGTGATTAACTCATAAAAAAAATGTGGATAACCGCGTAACCGATGTAGCAAACTTACGTTTAAGTCTTGTACTCACCGTTTACTCCATTGTTAGCTAGCTATAAATAGATAGGAGTAGGTACCCCGTTTGTTTATATTCACTATTAATTGAAGGGTATATAGTGATCGAGGTGAGGGTGATAATATAAGTAGCTATGGACAAGGCACGATTTGGGCTTTTCTTCGTATTGTTGATTCTCCTTGCTTCTCGTAAGCCTCTTCTATGCATGGAATCAGACTATATATTACATGTGTACTTACGTAAGTAACCAAGTCTGTTTAATTAATTAAAGTGTGTTAATAATAATGCAGAGATGGTGGTAGAAACGGAGGGAAGGCACTGCGAATCAAAGAGCCATCGTTTTAAAGGGATGTGTCTAAGCGATCACAACTGCGGTTCCGTTTGCCATGTTGAAGGCTTCACAGGTGGCAAATGTCATGGATTCCGTAGACGCTGTTTCTGCACTAAGCACTGTTAGTTTAGTTGCTGCTCCATGCAATTTTCCTACCTCTTTCATGCACCTTTATGTTTCTGAGTTTAGGAAATAATAAATACCACTTTACCACTCCTATTTCTCTAGGTTCGGTTTGGTTGCTTTTAGCTACCTAGCTTCTGTTTCAGTTTGGTTTTCCACTTTAGGTTTGCAATTTCTATTGTTGTATGTTCTGATTTCGTGTTCTATTTCCCATCAAAAGTAGTGAAACTACACCTTCTTCGTTTCCTCATCATCCTCCTTTTTACTATTATCAAAAATATTAGCAATATATTTCTTTTCTAACACACTCTACACAATTTGTTATAAATCTAGTTTCAAATGAGAATTTAATCCAATAGATTAACATTAGGCACATGCTCTTCAAACATTATAACAATAATCTATTTAATAAAGAATCTAACTGATCGTATAAAAATCTTTCGACCTAACAATAATACTGAAATAATATCAGTATTGTAAGTGGGATTAGCCTCTTATCTAATACCTTATATAATACCTTGTAACTTGCCCAAAAAAACAAGTTACTGAAATTTTCTTATAATTTTGTAGATTTTTTAAAAAAATAATTAAAAATAAAGAGTATATTAAAAAGAAAAAGTGTATTAAGAAAAGGTATTACTTATGGGTGTTACCAACACTCTACTCTACATTCTTTTTTATATAAAAAATATGGTTGAAATTTTTAATAAAGGGGTGCAGTGGTAATTTTCTAGAAAAGTGTAAGCATGTTCAAAAAATGATGGGATTGGGTCCTCTAGTAATAATTAAATGGGCCTAGATGTATAAATGTTGCGAAAGCCCGAGTGGGAGTTTGTTGGGTTTTATGTTTCGAGGCCCAATGTAATGTCACGATAAAAAAAAATAATAATAATAAATAAATAAAAACCTCAAAGCATTTAGCACTTTATGAATGTTAGCCAGGTCAACTTCTGGAAGTTGACCAAAATCAAAACATATAGCCGATAGGAGAACTTCAAATATTGTTTTTTAATGTAATTGATTGCATGACCCAACTTTGTTAGGTAAGATAAGTCATGGACAACAAAAGTTTTAGTTAGTCTTCATGTTCTCATCTCAATAGTTTCTTGCTTGCCGTTAAGGGTTTGAACTTTGACTCTGGGGCCATCTATAGTGATAGACTATTTATTTGCTTATGCCATGTTTCCGCAAACAACTATAGCCATGTTATGCATTCACATGAGACAAAAAAAAAACATTATAAGTCAAATTTTAACCTCAATATATATCACCCCCGCGACAAACCCTAGTCATCGTTTACTAAACGTGGCGTGAAGGGAGTTGAAGATTTTACTACCTTTGGGAATAAATCTTACCTTTTCTTTGTGTAACAATCTTCAACATCAAATTACACAAGATGTAACTAGAGTCCACCACATAGTAGTGGAGGGATCGAAGTGTAGAGAGTCTGAGGTTTAAGGTTTAAATCATGTCACAATTTTTGTAATTCTAACAAAAACAATTATTTATAATATCGTGTAATTATTTCCCTAC